TAAAGTATCAAATATAAATATAAAATATACAAAATATTTTATGAAAATAAAAACATATTAATAAAAATAGTTTATTAATATTAAATGGCTTTGGCTAAGCTATGCTTTATTTTAATTTATTTATATATAATTTATTTATATATATATAAAGCTATAGGAAGATATCCCGAAAATTATAATAAGAACAATTTATATAGATTAAGTTGAATTTAAAATATCTAAAATTAGAAATTATTGCTATTGAAAAAAAAAAGAAAAAAAAACAAGTAAGAAGGCTCCAGTCGAGACTGCTCGACTGGGAGATACCCTGAACCCTCCAAGCTGATATTCTAATCATTCTGCACTTCTTCTATGCACACATACATACACATGCACTTATAAGTACGCGCTCTGCTAACTGCGCAGTAAGCAGCGGCTACGCTTGGGCTGCGCTGCAATGTGGGCAATATTATGAGAATTTATTAGTTGAATAATTTCTCTTGTAGTAAGAGTATCTTTATGAAACTTTCAGAATGTGTTCATATAGTTAAAATGTGTGTACATTCCAAAGCACAAGTCTCTAGTACTTGAAATGCGTTTTTTACAAATTGGGGGCGAAGGGGGCGTGGTATCCAAAATCTGTAAATGGCAAAATCTATGTATCCATTAACTTTATATACAACGCAAATTTGAAGTCTCCAGGTCTAAAAGTATTCAAACTAGGCTGAAAAAACCAAGTCGATTTTTCGATTATTCTCGATAAAAAAGTTATCGGATGAGTTATCGAAAAAATAAAGCAAACTCGTACTGCCTATGATATACACGAGTATGCATGCCTAATTTCAGCTCTCTAGCTCTTATAACTTCTGAGATCCTTTTGCTCATACGGACGGACGGACGGACGGACGGACGGACGGACGGAGGGACGGACGGACGGACGGACGGACAGACGGACAGGGCTATATCGACTCAGCTCGTCGTCCTGATCAAGAATATATATACTTTATGGGGTCTGCGATGATTCCTTCTGCCTGTTACATACTTTTCACAAAACCATTATACCCTGATTTCCCATTTTCAATGGGTTCAGGGTATAAAAAAACTAAATATAAACATTAGCTTTAATATTATCAGTCAGTTAATGACGGAAATATCCGGAAGATAAGAGAAACATGTTTGGAATTTAACATCGGAAAACTGATTCATGAAAAAACCCCGTTAACTATGTCATAATTATTAAAAAGATTTGGTACACATCTAATGCTATTTATTTTAAATTTATTCATTATATTATTTTTTTCTCCAATTTGTTTTTGTAATGACAATAATTTCACACACTTCATGTCACTTCAATTTCACGCACTGCACGATTGACGCCCACCGGGCCTGGGTGACTGAAGAAATTCTGCAACTGCTGCCCTTTATATAGGGCGACTCTCACTCACACACTGAGCTGCGCTCAAATTTTGACCCCGACGTCAGGTAGGGCTCGTTACAGCCGAAGTTCAGGTGACCAATGGGAGCACTCTCTGCTGCTCTCTGCAAGCAGTCTAGCTTTAAATGGCCAATGGGAACGCTCTCTGCTGCTGCAAGCAGCCAAGCTTCGTTTTACTTAAGTATAAATACGAAATGAAGACTGCTGCATCATTACATACATACATACATGCTCTTCTGCAGTTCTTCTTCTCAATTGCTTGCTTGCAGACAGACGGAGAGACAGACTGTGAGATAGACAGAGAGACATAGACATAGGCTAAGCTGACAAAACTGATTGAAGCCTCAAGCTTTCGTATGCGTGTGTGTGTGTGCATGTAAATGTGTATGCGCTGTTTCTTGTGTAAGCTGAAAATAAGGTAAGAATTATTCACATATCAGTCCCTTAAAGGGCTCAGAGGATCTAATTTTAGAGCAGTCTCGACTTGGTTTAACATTATTAGTTTTGATAGTTCAAATTTAGCAATTTTGGTCATAAAGTACTCCGCTACTTTTTGGTTTACCGCTTAAGATTCAAGACTTCCATTGACAGATTTTCAAATTCTTAACGTAACGTAAGCCCATGTTGTCAATCAAACTGAAACCTTGCTGAGCACAGCAACCCTTTTTTCCCACTTCCACTGACATATTTATTACTGAGGACTTTTGCTGCAAACTTCATTTACAATCAGAGTCGTTGACAAAAAGCATTGTAATTCGTTAAATTTAAGGCTTCAAAATAATAAATAGTACAAACAAATCAGAAAATGGATCCGAATTTAGTTTTGTATGGGGATGGTGAGTTCTTAATGGCTGAATTTGAGCTGGATGGAGATTTGGTTGTGAACAGCGATGAACTGCAGCCGGGTGCCACTGTGCTAGTCTCCAATGAGACAGATGGCATTGTTAGCCACGAGGATCTGGCCAAGTTCTTTGAGATGCAGTCAGGTATTCCGATACCCGCAGACGAGGCTGTCGAGCGCACACTGGCTGATCCGGCATTGAAGCAGATACTGCAAAAGGCGGATGGCAGAGTGGACTTTGATCCCGAGGCCGAGCAAGAAAAGCTGCGCGAGTTCCTGTCGGGAGTGAACAGCAAGAAGACAGTCCCGGAGAAAGGTGCCGCTCTAGCTGAGGCTGTGGCCCATAAGCTGCCGCAGTCATCGGTGTCGCAGCCACGCCCCCTAGTGCCGCAGTCAACCGTTTTACGCTTTATTAAGTGCTCCAATTGCAATGGCCTCTTCGACACGTCCTCATTTCAGGATCACAGATGTGAGTACGACTCGGAGCAGAAGCCAACGGTTCGAGCGGCAGCAGTGCAGGAGAAGAAGACATCGACGCCGCCCAGAAAGACGCCTAGTGAGCGCATCATCGTTGAGAACCAGGTGCGCATTCGTCGCTATATGAAAGACGAACTCAAGTACGATCTAGAAACGGGCTTCGACAGCTCCAAGTCCAAAAAGACCACCACGAAGGGTCCCAATGAGTGCAGCATCTGCGAGCGCAAATTTGTGCACACCTCCGGCTTGGTTCGCCACATGGAGAAGCACGCCCTTGACCTGATCCCCACACAGACGAGCATCCACCAACAACATGTGGCTCCCTCGGCGCTGGGACTACTGGTGGTGCTCAAGTGCGACAACTGTGGCCGCATCTTCTACGACGTCAAGCTGGCGCTGGAGCATATCTTTGTGCACCAGTTGCCCACGGACGCAGCTGAGGCTGAGCCTGTGGTTGAGGATGAGGTTGTACTGAAGAAGCAGCTCAAGAAGCTTATGCTGGAGGGCGAGAATCTGCTCTCTCTGGCCGCCGAGATGGGTAGGATGTCGCTCAGGAACGGGGACGAATATTTCACTACACTCCTCCTCGGCAATGTGCTGCAGTGCGAGTTCTGCGACTTCATCTTTGCGGATGTGTCCTTCCTCCTAATGCACTCGGCCACGCATCTGCCGGAGCGTCGCTTCGAGTGTACCGCCTGTGATCTACGAATGACCACCGCCAAAGAGGCCTGTGTCCATTACCAAACAGACTGCGTCTATATGCGCGAAGGGCTCAAGCAGCTGCAGGCGCAGCCGAATCGCTTCTTTGTGTGTAACGTTTGCGAACTGAAGTTTGCCAATGTGGAGCTGCTCCAGGATCATCGGTAAGTGTGCTTTAAAGTCTGACCAACATTTGCAACTGCATCTGCATAGCATCCTCTGCCTTCTGTGCAGCTATAGCTGTTATCACTACTTTCCTCGGCTCAGCGAGAACGGCAAGCGCCTTGTGTTGCCATGCGAGTTCTGCACCACGAACTTTGAGTACGCGCACGAGATTCAGCCGCACTACGAGGAGAAGCATCTGAATAAGAAGAAGCGCGAGAAGGAGCTGCGCAACAGTGGGAGCGCAGCTACGATGGGCCGTTTGCGGCAATATCTGTGCGACATTTGTGGCAAGTCCTATACGCAGTCCAGTCATTTGTGGCAGCATTTGCGTTTCCACCAAGGTGAGTGGCAATGCAGTTATCAGCGACTTACATGTAGGTAACGTTGTTTAATTGCCCGCCAGGTGTGAAGCCTTTTGTGTGCCAGGAGGAGAACTGTGGCCGCAAATTCACCATACGCCCAGATCTCAATGATCACATACGCAAATGCCATACGGGCGAACGGCCGTATCACTGCCTGGTGTGCGGCAAGCGCTTTCTCACCGGCTCCGTCTTCTATCAGCATCGTCTCATACATCGGGGCGAGCGTCGGTACGAGTGCGAGGAGTGCGGCAAGCGTTTTTATCGTGCTGATGCACTAAAGAATCATCAGCGTATTCACACCGGCGAGAAACCCTATGATTGCCCCTTCTGTACCAAGACATTCCGGCAGCGTGGCGACCGGGATAAGCATGTACGCGCACGCCACTCGCACTTGGACGCAAATGCACGGCTGATGATGCAGATGCAAAAGTTCGAGTTGGAGACGGCAGCCGCATTGAAAGCGAAGCAAATGCAGGAGAGCGGACTTGAATTTGTGGTTGATTCAGTAGCCGACACAGTTATGCATTCGCCTACGTCGCCCATGGCGCATGAGCAACAGTTTGATATGGTTGAATTTGACCCCAGCGATTATGGCGACGGCTCCGAGTATGTGCAAACTATGGAAATGCCTCTTAATAACGAGGAGCAAGACCATATGTCGTACGTAGACCTGGAGGCAAAAGAACCAATAGAGCAACAGACTTTCCAGCTAGAAAACAACGAAAATGTCAAAGTTGTGGTGGTAGAAAATAATACTGCGCAACCGTTTTATTTCTAACATATGTATGTGTTTCTAATAATTATACTTCTAGTTTAACTTACCTGTAAATGTAAAAATATGATTAATTTTATTTTAATTTATTGGAAATAAAACACAAGCGCATGCCTATGAAACAGATGGTATTTAAATTTTAAATTGATTGGCCGCAAATCAATCCACCACATCTGGCAATATTACAATACTTAATAGTGTTGACTATCGCAACTAAAGATTGCGATAGGTGGCAACGTTTGCATTTGACAGTTCATGTGTCTAGTAGCCATTTTTGCCGTCCTCTTTCTTTTCGATTTTTCCATCGTATACGCCAACATGGGTTTCGCTACTCTCTGGTACTCGCATCCTCGTAAATACGGCCAAGGCTCCCGTTGCTGGTAAGTAAAATGTAGCCAGTAAAATTTTGCATTTATTGCTGTATAATTTGCATGTATGTCTATTGTTAAACTTGTATTTTGTTGCATAGTTGAGTTGCTTTGTGTCTTTGAGGTTAAGCACGCCTTAGTTTCGCATGGCGCATACCGCCCGTGTATTTGTTTGTGTATTTGTATGTGTATGTATGTGCTTGTACTAGATGTTGAATTTGCTTAAATATCATTTTGCCCCCGGTTGAGTACGGAAATATGCGAGAACTTCTTTAACAATTTCCTTAATGAAGGGTGGCCAAAGCAAATGTTGTAGCTGGCTCTTGTCATTTTCAATTGGAATGGCCCGGCCAGCTGCTGCGACAGCTATGCAGCTTTATACGATTGTTTAACAGAAGTTAACTGCGATTTAGTAGCCAAAACAAACAGTTAATGTGTGCTTTATTTAATATTTTAGCCGTGCCTGCTCAAACCGACATGGTCTGATCCGCAAATACGGCCTGAACATTTGTCGTCAATGCTTCAGGGAGTACGCCAATGACATTGGCTTCAAGAAGGTAAGTTAAAAGTGAAATATTTCTACTCGTGTTCCATGTGCTTATTCTTCTATTTATTTTTTCAGCTGGATTAAATATCCGCTTCATTCTTTGGCGTTTAATGCGTCAATATTTAAGCATATTAATTTTAGTAGTCGCTTTCGAGGGACTACATCTATTAATATGCTGGCAACAACAGCAACAAAGCAACAACACAGTAATCATCTGGAGATTTAAATGAAACCGAAGGCATCTGAACTTAAGGACGCACAGGGACAACAACATGAATAGAGAATCATCTCAAATCAGCATTCACCAATGCAACAGGGTTTACAAACTAAGTGCTACAAACGCCGAATTCAATTCCATAAGTCCCTAACCAAGCAGTTGTTACCTTCTGAGAAGGTTCTTTGTTTAAATCTCCTTTTGATTAAATATATAACAAGTCACGTAAAATATTTTGTTTACCTTTGCATCCTTATTGTATGTACATTTCACTAGAAATGCCGGAAGCAATTGAACGACTGCAATGCCTGCTTTCTTCAGTTACTTCCTCATTTCTATAATATTGGGTTAGTGGTGTCCAGTGGGCTGCACTCAAGCTGCGCTTGTGTTGAATAGCATCAGCACTTGGAGAAAAATAAGCAACAGAAACCAGTTTGTTTAGTGGCTCGCTGGCTAAAAGAGCGAATTGACGCTCTCTTAGCTGCCTACGCAGCTGGGGCCTCAGCTGTTGCTATTGCTGCTGGCGCTTTGGTTTGTTGTTTATCTGCTGAAACTTAAAATTTTGCACATTCGCCCGCTGAGTTTGTTTCGACCATTTGAACTCACAACAACGCGTCGCGAGTGCATTTCCAACCCAAACTATAAGGTCTTGAGCGTGAATAATACCAAGTAAATGCCATGTACGCGAAGCTTAATATTTTAGCGAAAAATAAATAAGTGATCGATAAAAATCAATTTCCATAGATGTGAATAAAACTCGTTGACCTGGTTAAATTTTGAATTAAATGAGAAATGGAATTGCCTGTGTATCTGTTGCTTTTGCTGCCACTTCTGAGCAGCTTTTGCTTTGTGGCCACGATCAATGATGCAACAACAGCAGAGGCAGCGACATGGCATCGCAAAAATGCAACAGCGACACGAGCTGATGCGGAGGGCTTTAACCAAGGCAGTAGCCGTGCTAGCGGTTCCCGCGGCCCCAAATCTCGTACTGTTGCACAATACAAGCTGCCGCTCGATGCTACACAGATGACGCTGGAAGGCAGAGATAGTACGGCCAGAGCACAGCCTAAGCGTAGGCGCACCCAGGTGGTTATGCGGCGCAGACCTACCACAACATCTACAACAACATCAACGACAACGACGACGACGACAACAACAACTACAACAAGTGAGTTAAGTTTAGATCGGACCTGCATAAAATGGACTTTAGCCTATGTCCATATGACCGCTGCAAAGGCAAGCCAGTCTTACCGCTGGCACTGACCTAGCTTTCGGTTTTTAAGATTGGTAAAGACAACTAAAAGCAGCAGGCCGTCTGAGAAGCTGTCTGACTACGAAAAGAAAACAACCAACCACATTCGATAATTATGCGGCTGATAACTGGAGCAGTCGCTGTAGCTCTGAGCTTTCAAATTCAAATTGTCATTTTTAGTAGTCGTAAACGACCTTGGCGAGCGGGACGCGACGTATGCGACAGTAATGCTGAATGCGGCTCATACTCATTGAAAGCTTAAAGTATTGACTTGCATTTTAGGAAAGGTACTGAATGAAATACTTTTATCAAAGATATTGATTTTTGCCATCGAATTGTCTGCATGTACGTCATCTCGAACGAAAGCCGCGTAGATTTGAATAGGCGAGCCTTGAACTTGGGCCTTAATTAGCACGTTTTATGATAAACGAAGTTTTGGTGTTTTTTGTTGTATATTTTATTCGGCATTGAAGTCTAGAGATGACACTTATGGAGTTAACGATCAAATTGGGTCACTCGATTATTCTCTATAGCCTATTGTGTGGCATCTTAATTCAAAGCTGTTGCAATTTCAATTACAATTAAAACACGATTTTTCGGCTCCCACAGTCTTTAAAGCATATTTCTTGAGGTGTTATTTTTGGCATAGTAATTTATATGTAAAGTAGTAAAACATGCGATGGCTTTAAAAGACAGAGAGAGACATAGACTCAAAATTCAACAAATCTCTGCTCTTATGGTAATATAAATTTATTAATTATAAATATTCACATATTGTAAATTTGCGACATTTAGTGTCAATTTGCAATTCTTTGATTTATTTTAGCTATTTATAATGGGTGACATCATTTTGGAAGTGACAAAACCAGTAAAAGCTATTAGAATGATGTAAAAGCTAATTAAGAAAAAAAATTTACAAATTCAAATTTTAAAGTTAAACAGTTCATATTACCTCTAAGTAATACTAATTGCCTTTAATTGCATCGTCGACAAGAAAAGCAAATTTCATTCTAATTGTTTAGTTAACAATAATGTTTAGTCCCTCCACTAAATACCGTGTGATAATCATTCCAGTCTTTTGTAAACTAGGCCAGTAAGAAGCGTTCACACAGTGAATGGGCATTTGTAATTGGTAACAGTGTGTGTCAGGGGGAGGGGTGCGGACTCTGGACTGTGTGTTGCTTTGCGCTCCAGCGCCAGCGGCAATATGTTGCCTGTAGGCGTACAAAGATTCACTTTCAATAGCATTAACAAAAGCACTTGTTTTACGAGTGGGTTAACTGGGTGACGGGAACTGCGCTTTGGTTGTCTTGCAACGCTTGTTATTTGGAGCAGAACTAGTAATGACCATTGTTGACTAATCCATTTATCATACGTTCAGCGCCCCGTCCAACTTTGGCGAATGGATTCAATTTCTTCAATCCCAGATTTTGGAGCTTTGGCCAGCAGAGCCTTGTGCCAGTGAGTGCGCCCACCAAGCAGCCTCATCCACCCAAGAAGTTTACACACACAGTAGCTGCCGGCTTCAAGGAGGAAAAGTCCGCTTATCGCAAGCCCTTGAAGACTACACCAAAGCCAAGGCGCAAACTGAATACCACAACAGCAACAACAACCACCACTGAGGGACCTTTCCGCATAGCATTGCCAACGCTTAACTTTCCAACTGCCACCGCCGGAGCTAGCGACAAGGAGAAGGATAAACGGGCTGCCGCTGATCTGCGACAGCGCTTCAATTGTCCGCGCGAGAACGAGGTGCGCTTCCAGCTCTTTCCGAAAATCTGCAAGTCCGACAAGGACTGTTTGGTCTGGCAACGGGATGAGATCTGCTGCGACATCTTTGGCTCCAGCAGCTGCGTCGCGGGCATTGCCAAGCCACTCGAGGAGACGGCACACGCACGTAAGTTCACGGCGCACAAGAAGCCACATGGAATGCATTTAACGAAATTCCTGCTGCAGCCATATTGGGCCTGATACCACGTCGCTGTCCGACTCGTCCGCTGGCTGAGCTCTGGTGGGATGTGCAGGAGTGTCACACGGACATGGACTGCTGGCCGCGCGTCTGTTGTCCCGATGGTCGACGGCGCTACTGCCGCACATCCCAGCCAGAGCTGGAGACTGTGCCGGTGCCAGTGAAGCGTTCATTTGATTATCGTAAGTTCATTTACATATAACCCTTCCAGCTCATAGTTGATAGCTATATTTTTCATTTTCACAGTTACGGAATACTTGGAGTGCACCGCACCGCCGCCGACGATTTTTGATCTGCATCCAAAGGCTTGCACCTCCACGCTCGACTGCTTTCCCAATGTGTGCTGCCAAGAGGCGGGCTTGCGGCACTGTCGTCCGCCCAAGAAGTCGGTGCTCACACTGATGGCCAATTTCCTGAACGTGGACTTTGTGAAGCGCTTGACACAGAATATTGTTATCAAGTAACTGCAATTCAGTTAACACAGACACACACACATATGCACATACATCTGCACTCATGTACATACATACATGCATACACACTCTCACACACACACATGTATTCATATTGAAATCTCGTTTATACGAGGATTTATTGTAGATCTATTCAAGCTTTTTGATAGCATTAAATTAGTATTTCGCTTGAATTGTTATTTTATATTGAATACAAATTTATGCAAACTGGTTTTATATAAATTATTTTCAATGTTTTATTATTAAATTTCGTATATTTATATTTCTTAACTTTCATCGTTTTTACGTGTAAACGATCCCATCTACCTGTAGATATGTATGTACTTTTATTTACCTGATTTCGAAATCATTATTGTTCTTCTTGAACTGATAACTGTTATGTGTACAAGCGTACGTAGATAGGGTTGCTCAAACAGTGAGACCTACTTAAACTGTACTTTTGGTCTTAGATAATAAGGTTGATTTATCAACGATTCCAGTTTGAGTTTTTTCTTCATTTGATTTCTTTTGTGTTTTTTTTTTTCTCCCTCTTTTTAATGGTCAAACTACGTCTCAGCAATTGACACTAGAGTGGCTGAGCCAAAGTTGATGTTGAAAGTTTTTTATTTTTATTTTATTTTTTTTTATTTACGAAAAGGTTAAACGGTGTCTGGTTACCTCTTGGCCTGTGGCATACAGAAGCAATTATATGATTGCTTCAATAGAATCAGCGAAGGTTTCGTTCTTACCTTGGCACAACGTAGCCACTCGAAATATTGTATGACAAATGCTCGTATGTATTAACTCGAGCAATAATAAAAAACAACAACAAAAAACTGTCATCTACATGAAACTGAATGTATGCATATGTTAATTTAAATGCCTCGATTAAGAAATGAAGTTTAAAGTTTGCATTCGCTTTGCAAATGCCTAATTGGATTTTAGCTCCGAACACGGAAAGTTTTTGGCGTCGAGCGAAAACTTCAGGCTAAATCGCATTTAAATTGAATTCGCTTCAGTTGAGACTGCTTAAGTACAGGTGCTTAAATGTGCATATATACATACATACATACATATGTACGTATACTGTTATTTCGAGAAAAATCATCAAATTAAAATGATAACGGGAGTTTTCTAGAAAAAGAAAAGACAGAATCAAGTTAGACTTTCACTTTATTGAAATATTTTCTAAATTCAGTTGTTTCGAGAAATATCTTTAAATGATCAGCATGGAAAATGAGCCAGAATATTCTGGACAGTTCAATGCAATGAATTATATTTATTGAAACTTGAGTAAAAAATGTTTTTAAATGTTCATATTAATTTTATTTTGCAGCTGTTATAACAATACACACTTTATACTCGTATGCATAATTATTATTATATATGTACATATGTATGCATGTGTATATATACATCTCTGCTGAAAATACAGTTATTCTTTAAGCAACTGCATCGCCAGCAGGCGCGTTTCGAATTTCCCACTAAGTGGCGAAATAAATATGAAAAGAAAACCAAAAACTCGCCCCTACTAGAAAAACAATTGAATGATTGCACAACAATTGACATTTAGTGGAAACGACGCAGTAAAAAACTTTAATTTCAATTTGGTTTATTGCACATTATTCAATTTGTGTTGCTGAATGAGCTTTTCTTCACATCTATGTATGTATGTATGTATGTATGTAGGTGTGTATGTAGTTGTCTCCGCAAGAGCAACTAGCCGTAAAAGATCGAATCTAATTATAATTTAATGAATGTATGTATGTGTGCGTGTGTACTATTGCTGACGAGTTCACTTGGAGCAGCCGCACTTGCTTTTGCTCGCTCCACCGCATTTGCAGTCACTGCCACAGTTGCAGGAACCCTTGTTGGTCTGAGAGGCGCATTTGCAACCTAAAAATAGATAAATAAACAAATAATTTTAATATTAAGTTAAAGTGTTGATCGGCATTTCTTTGCATTTATTTATTTGATGTCCTTCGGCTGACTTACCGCTTCCGCATGGGCAAGGCATTTTGTATGGATTTTTTAAGACTGTCACTTGAAAGCACAAGAAGTAATATTTAGTTTTTCACTTGACTGATGAGTCACTTTCACTTTACTGCAGAATACAACTGATGCCCAATCCACGGATGCTACCCGATTTTATACACTTTCGAAACGAGGCTTTCCACACGGCTGCCGGGCGCTTTAATTCAAGTTTTGCACACGCCGACCGGCCGGCCGACTGAACATGTTCGAGCCGTGTGCAACTAATGTTTTCCGTTTGAAAGCTTTAGCTTACTTGGCCTGGCGTGTGTCTCGACTAAAGCTTTTATTTAGGTTTCTAACCGCTGCCCGTTTAGTTCAGTGGACAGCGTTGGCACTGCGCACGCGTTTCCATGTGGAAAATTCATGAGGTGGATAATGGGCGGTACTGTGACTCTTATCGTGCACCGTATAGCGCACACCGAACACATTCCAAATGTGGGTACCCTCCTGTCTGTCTGTCTGCCTGTCCATTCATCATCGGCTTCGGCTGTGACCGTGTCGCTGTGCCCTGCGAATGCGCGAAGAGTCAGTGTATTTCCGATTTCTGAGTGCGGCTGCAATAGCAGCTAGCAGGCAAAAGTCGCGCGACATTTTAGCAACGAATTCAAGTGCAACGCAATGCAAGAACTGAATGTAAATAATACGCATTTTATTCAAAATATCCTTGCTGATAGACACGCCAGCAAGCACGAAGAGGCAGGCGACAAGTTGCTGTATTTTCATTTTTATTAATATTTGTTCGATATGTGTGTGGGCGTGTGAATGTGTGTGTTGGTGTGTGCGTGAGTTTGTTTGTACGCTTGTGCGTGTGCGTGTGCGTGTGCTAAAGGTGAAAATGCAACACACATAAAATCAATAAATCCAAGTCAAAATAAAATAACTAAAAATCAACGGCTAACAAAATATTTGTGCGTGCGTGTATGTGTATGTGTGTGTGTGTGTCTGAGCGGGTGTGTGCGTGTGTGTATGATTGCGAGTGTGCGTGTATATTAGGGCGTGAGAAAGAAAACAAAAGAGCAAAACAGTGAGAGGACAATAACCAAAGCGCTTCCAACTAAGGTGGCAACACAGGACACTCTGTGTGTGCGGAAGTGAACAATTTAAAGTTTGTGGTCACCAGAGCAAATAACAAAAAATACATACGTACAGACACACACCCACACGGGCTGGCAGAGTGTGCGTGTGTGTGTGTATGCAGGGGAAGGCTCTGTAAGCGATTATTTTGCTCACCCACGCATTTAACTGTTTTTGTTATTCCTGATGTTGTTGTAATCGCCTGCACTTCAAAGCTTCTATTTATACACTAAACTATGTGCGTATGTTTGTGTGTGGGCGTATAAGTGTGCGTGCGTGTGTGTAGGAGTGCCAAGCTGCCCATAATGCGGTCGACCTGATACCTGAGCCCAATCACAATCACAATCACAATATCACCCGCTCCTCTCATGCTCAAGCCGCCCACGCTGAAATAATAGTATGTAATCACAATAACAACAACGATGATGATGGTGATAATGATGATGATGATATTGCGAATGACGTTGGCACTAGCTGGCAAAAGGTTAACGCCGCACAGATCTCTCTGTCGTGGCGTTAATTTTAACAAATTGTATTTATACCGAGAGAAAAAATCAATAGCCTACCTTAACATAAACGCGACTGGCACATGGATAAAATTAGCCGCACTCTTACGCATATATTCTATTCATAATTTTATTGTGGAGCAGGTTGCGGAGCAGGAAGCGGAAAGGGGCAACCAAAAAAAAAAAAAAAAAAAATGCAGACGCAACCCGAGCGAGCCGCTCAACTGACCAATTGATTTGCTGCTCTTAATCGTTGCAGAACCAGAACCAGAGTATGGCGCTCAAGTAAAGCACTGACGTAGTGGTCGACAAACCTAGCAACACAGCGAGCCTCCACTCTTGACAAACACTAAACAACCGTAGAGGTCCGCCCCACAACACTGTCAGGATGACAGAGCAAAAGAATCAGGTGACGCGCGCCGCGCCGGAGCAGAGCAACGACTACCGTGTGGTGGTCTTTGGAGCTGGTGGCGTTGGCAAGAGCTCTTTGGTGCTGCGTTTCATCAAGGGCACCTTTCGCGAGAGCTATATACCCACCATAGAGGACACCTACAGGCAGGTGGGTAACCATACATAATACTTTACCCAAGCTGGATTTCAATTCTGGGCCGTTGCAGGTCATCAGCTGCAATAAGAATATTTGCACATTACAAATCACGGATACGACAGGATCCCATCAGTTTCCGGCTATGCAGCGGTTATCCATTTCCAAGGGCCACGCATTCATTTTGGTCTACTCCGTGTGCTCCAAGCAGAGTCTAGAGGAACTGCGACCCATATGGGAGCTCATCAAAGAGCTAAAGGTAAGCATCTGATAGAGATAGATGGATAGAGACGTTGGATAATAGCTCGTGTGATTTGCAGGGCGATGTCAACTCTATTCCCGTTATGCTGGTGGGCAATAAGTGCGATGAGAGCACCGAGCTGCGTGAAGTGTCGCAAATGGAGGGGCAGGCGCAGGCGACCACCTGGGGCATATCCTTCATGGAGACATCGGCCAAAACCAATCACAATGTCACCGAGCTGTTCCAGGAGCTGCTCAACATGGAGAAGACGCGCACCGTCTCGCTTCAGCTGGACACAAAGAAGCAAAAGAAACAGAAAAAGGAGAAGAAATGCAAGGAGACCAACGGAGCCATACCGGAGAACGGAGAGGCCAGCGCCAGTGCCAGTGCCGGAGCCAGTGGCGCCGGCGTGAAGGACAAGTGCGGCGTTATGTAACCAGTTTGGCAAGCTAAATTCGTGACAGACAAATACTCGCATTGGAACAGTGGCAGGATTTGAGAACTCATCCCTCACAGACACCAACACACATAGAAATACACACACACATGCACACGAACAATGATTAAACATATGCATATACATATATACTATATATATATATCATACATTGGGACTGATGTTGTCAGAACGTAGCCTGCATAGATGGGAAATATATTATTAATTATAGATGGAATGAAGCAAACCAAAAACGAAAACTATAAGACAGCATTACGAGTATATTTTGCATACATAGATTTTAACCTTCTCTGGTCTCTATCAGAATGTAGAAGGCAATCACTGAACCGCCCGCACATTCACACCCACACCCACTCGCACACACACACACACATATATATATATACAAGTCATAAAGTATACAAATTTCATTTGAATTCGGAAAACGTCATCTGCAACGTAACGGCATACATATCAAATACATAAGCATACTACATACATAACAGGACATGACATACTCGCACTTACACTATAGATGTGTACATTATACATATATCACAATGCTATATATATATAAGCACATATATGCATACATATGTGTAACCCAAAGGAAAAGCCAAAGTACCTACTTAAAAGACATACAATTTTATCTACTTACTACCAAAGATGATAAGCCAATTTCCAGGCCTAACTCATCATATCACCACAGATCATCACAGATCATCATTTTCACAACAGATCATGAAGAAGACAATTCTGTAGCATTTGTGGCACTGGAATCGAGTGGATCCATCACATTCGATTGCTGCAGACGCGCTTATCTGACTATCAATCAATTGCTGTATAACTACTATTTACCACCAAAACCAAAAACGAAAAAGTTAAACAAATGGAATAATTACTTATTACTAACATCACTTATAATGTATAAATAATACTCACACACTCTATTCACATGATCCCCACTTGATAATCCAGAGAAAGTATGCATACGAATCGTGTGTGTTAGTTTCCTTCCTTTTAATTGTTTTTCACTTATGGTACTTATAGATTCTAGGCAGACATAATGATTTAAGGACAGACGAATGGATGAAACGTGTATTCATTTACAATTATTTGCTGAAGTTTATTAACAATGCAAAACAACTTAGATATAGTCGAAGATTAGGCCCTGCCTGACGGCCCGATCGCAGTCCGGGATCGGGGGATCGTCAGGTTAGGCAATAAGAACAATTTTTGCCGCTCATTCAGAAACTGTAGAGTTAGTGCTAGAGATGGAGATTACGATCCCCGTTTACATCGAAGTACATGTGTTGCGAAATGGTATATGAGTTGCCTGTTTTCTAAAAACGAGCACAGTTTACAAATTGTGGTATTTGCTTAATTATTATAATAGTTGGGTTGGCTTAGGATTTAAAGTCTATTAGCAGGTTAATGGTTAAATATGGTAGTTACTGTTGATTGATATTACGAGAGGGGAAGGCATTAATTAGTTTTTGCAATTTATATTACGTATAACCTATTCAGCTAATTAAAAGTAATTCATTTTCATTGCTGTCATGCCAAATTAGGGGCAGATATGATAGAGAGGGGAGGATGGGGTAGGAAGGCCGAAGTAATTATATTAATTATGACTTAGCTCATTTCTTATGCACAATGCCACTTGCTCGTATAGATATAATTTAGATGCATAGTGGATGAGGAGTTATTCGAAAAGCCAATCATAGACACAAGCATATAAAAAAAAATAAAAAACAAAAAATCAAATATATAACATAGTACATACTTATTTACTAAATATTGTTGAATTTGTCTAGTGAAATTATTAAACAAGATTTTGATAGCGGACCAATTTGCGTATAAGATTTCTGAAATCAATTAGATAAATTCTCTCAGTTCGCCACCGCAAACCAATGCATACATAGGTATTTATTATATATGTATATGTATATGTATAATTCTAATGACAGACTTCGTTGAATCTTATGTACGATTAGCATTATCCTACGTGCTTTAGGTTTTCCGCTTAGTTTCCCTAGGTTTAGTTAGGTTTGTTGGGCTCTTGATAGCGAAACGGGTTATGGCTTAAAAGGGCGTGCCGAGTAGTCGAATACACTGTAATTAATAATTAAATAAATAAATAATACAAATCAGAACATGGATACTTTGTTGCATAATAAAATTAAGCGAATGTTATTTAACTGTAATTCAGCATCGATATGTACGTATATGTAATTCAAAAGTATAATTTAAAATACAACGAATGAATATATTTACACCGAATTAATTATAATTTTTTATGAATATATATATATATAAATTATATAGACATACATATATAAAATTATTATACACACAACAATAAGTTGTATATTGAACTAGTTTATTCATGATGAATATTTGATTATTGCTTACATTTCCAATATGCAGCAAGCACACACACACATATACAAGCACACTCACACACACACATACGCACTCAATGCTAATAAGATGTTGTAAATATAAACAAAAATTCAGCAATTGGCATTATTCGTATATAAACATATGAACAATTTGGCCGCTAGCCTAATATTAACATGTAATAAACACCTTTGGGCGGCCTATTAATGTCACCTAATGAAATCTTATTGTTGGAGATTTAACTTAAAATAATTATCGTGCAAGCATGAAATAATTACACGCAGAATTATTTAAATAAAGAATAATTTAACTATGACAAAATTATTGTTGGCTAACCGAAATCCGTTAATAGTTAAACCACAAACGTTAAACCTAATGAAGAATTTTAAAAAACCGTTACCAATAGCTTTCAGTTATTGATACAAACACTAACGATGGAGCACACATACATTTTATCATGCGTGTTTGGTTGCCTATATATGTATATGTGAATGTTTCTGTGCCAGGCGGCATATCTGTCTCCCTGTCTATGTCACAGTTTGTCTCTCTATCTGTCTCTCCGTCTGTCCACATGCAAGCAAAGGAGAAGAGCTTCAGAAGATCATGTCAGTTGTTTATATGTGTGCAGCAGTATTGATTTCGTAGTTACATTTAAGTAAAACGAAGCTTGGCTGCTTGCAGCAGCAGAGGTCGTTCCCATTGGCCATTTAATGCTAGACTGCTTGAAGAGAGCAGCAGAGAGTGCTCCCATTGGTCGCCTAAACTTCGGCTGTAACGAGCCCTACCTGACGTCGGGGTCAACATTTGAGGGCAGCTCAATGTGTGAGTGAGAGTCGCCCTATATAAAGGGCAGTAGTTGCAGCATTTCTTCAGTCGTTAAGCTTTCATTGAAGACTTAGGGGGAACACCTGGAGGAAACTCTCAGACGAAATACTTAGAGAAAATACTTATAGGAAACACTTCGAGGAAATACTCAAAGGAAGTACTAGCCAATTCGAATACTATTAGTACATATTTGCTACTTTTCGTATTTGCTTATTTCTGAGCTCACACATTTGTTTCGCTTCTCTTAGCTCGATCAAGACGATGAGTGCAATTACAGAAATCAAGTTAAATGAAAATGGCAGTTCAGCTGCAGGCAAATATTAAAAATATTTAGCTACTTACTAAATAAGCTCACAATGATGGAACCAACGGCTTCCAAAAAGATTTCTTTTACTAACATTTATCAAAACATTGCATTGGATGAAAATTAGCCCAACAAACATGGCTTCACATTCAGCAATTACCGTAATGGATTACTTACTTGTGCTTCTGTACAAATTTTTGCTAACATAAGATTTTCTCTCGACGTCATAAACATTTTGCCAAGCCCATTTCTATTACAACAAGCTGAAAATCAGCTTTTACTTTCTGCAAAAAACGATACAAAATAAGAATTTCCAGGTATTTCAAGTCGCTGCTGTGAATCCTTGATAATATTCACAATGTGAGCATACACTGTGTGGCTGATATAAATAAAGGACGTCCGCATGAGCCGACGACAACGGGAAATTGACGGCCTTATGAAGTATTGGTATTTCGCAAGCAATATATTAAAATTAAGCACATCTTGGATCAAGATGTTCAAGTTCTTCGACATCTGAATCACAGAGAGAAAAGAGCAGAGCCTGTTTCAAAAACTTTGTCTTTGCCGTGCTGAAAAACATAAAAGCAAATGTGGAGATGATATCATATGACCTGTCATTTGTTTGTGATTTTTCCGCCTACTTACCATTAGTGCATCGAAGCTAAATATGTTATGAACAACATTTTAAAAATATATTAAGGCCTATTGATCATCTTTTGTTGGAAGGGATGTCTCTTAAGATGGCACACGCTGGCTTTGACTGGAGTCTCCAGCATGATTATTTAGTTTCCTTGATGCCACTCCACCCCACGCATGTGGCTCAATCCAGTCATCCCGGCACTTTCTGTGGAGCAATAGTGATATGAAACTAACATTTCATTTAATTGCATTGTGCATCTGTAATACTTCTATAATACTTCAAATCGTGATCAAATTAAATCCTTACTATATTAATAATTGAATACAAAAATTGATCATTTTTTCATTATATATAATAGAACATTTATACGTGTTTTGTAATTTAAAATACAATGTATGAATATATTTACACAAAATTAATTAAAATTTTTTTCATGAATATACAAATAATTATTATTCACATAAAATATAAGTTGTATGTTGACCTATTTTATTCGCAGCAAAAAGAAAACTCAGTGCCAAAGGGATTTTGAAAATTTTAACAATAACTCAGCCACTTGCTTTTATACAAGCTTAAAATTGCATAATAACATAATATTAACGTAACAACTGTATATATTAGGCCTATTATTGACACTTAATGAACTTATTGTAGGGTTTAACTTATAATTCTAATTGTGCAAAATAATTAATAATTACACGGAAATAATTTAGCTATGAAAAATATCATTTGGTAGCATAATTGGGTTAAAAGGTATGCCAATTAGTTGGTAAAAGATAAACTATAACCACAAACATTACACATAATACAGCATTTCATAAAAAGGCTAAAAATAGCTAAAAGGTATTAATAGGATCACCATCCGAGTTATCATCTACAACGGTGAAGCCAGCTTCATGAGCGATGTCTTCTGAGGCATTGCTAATATTGGGACTAGGCTCTGAACTTTGTCTGCTTTCAGATTGTGCTTTCTCAGGCGTTTGTGGTGGTGGTGCTTCAATTGGTTCCACCAACTCTTGTACACCCGACACAGGCAGTTGTATTTGTTGTTGTTGAGACTGTACTATATTTGTCGTACCTATGACATTTAATAACATTTTAAGGTTTTCGCCCGATATACGATCTTCGACCATTTCGTTTGCAGTGACTTGGGGTTGTGAAGAGGTTTTCCCAGATTTCCCATGAAAAACTCCGATCCACATCTTCGGACTTATAACGTACTTGAAGATTAATTTAATTATGTACCCAATCAGAGCTATAAGTCCGAAAGGAGCTATTAAGTTGAATGGAAATGATAATTCCGCTGCGGGTAAAGAAAGCAATTATAATAAATGGCATTATATTTTTAAGATCTAGAAACTTACAATTTAAGCTCGAAATAGTTTGAGTGGTTTTTTCTAAGATCATTTCAATTTGTTTGAGAAAGATTTCACTCGCATACATAATGAACACATGATCTGGTCGGCAGTAAGGCATACGTAATTTGCTAGACTTTCTGTAACGTACATGACAAAAATATGTATAGTTGATGAATACGTTTTTAAGCAAATAGCTAATGAGTAGTACTAACAAAATTTTTTGCCTCTGTTGTTTTTCTTTAGACTCTCTAAATAAAGAGCCATATATGCCAGACAACCAGTTTGTATTTGCATTATCCATGGACTCTTGATGACTGTCAATTACTTCAATGACAGCATCGACCTCTAGTTTCTAAATGAATTAGAAAAAAAGATATATAGAAATGTACCAAACGACGTGGTTTCAATTAATACTACATACCCTATTGCACTCTAAATAGGTAACGAAGTAGCCATACAGGAAAATTCCGCCTATAACTATGGCTATTGCAGAATATCTGAATCGTTTATGCACAATCCACCCGGTAGCGATGATCAGCAGAACAGTTAACATGAAACGCACCTAGGAAAACATACTTGAATATATGTGCTAATATGTATTTAATAGTAGCAAGTCATACTTCGGATATTTGAAGTAGCTTTTGAAGGTCCTTGAAAATATCCATAATAAGCGCAAACACTCCCATTTCCTTGTGCGTATAGGAATAGTCGTCATCAACCTGATCCGACGACAAGGGAACATCGTTTGCATCATCTAGTATTTTGTTAAGTAAAATATCAAGATCACGCACATCTTCGACCGTCTCAAGTTCAACAACTTGTGACGCTTGTAATGTAAACAGAAGCGATCGCTTGAAAACATTTGACGTTTTGCCATGCTAAAAATGATTGACATGACGTCATTAGCACAAATTTGACAATGATTACGCCGCCTACTTACCATGAGCTTTTTTCGATTAAATAGAGTGTTAACAAACTTTTTAAAATACATTAGCGCTAACTGATCCTCAATTGTTGCCAGTGATTTCCCTTCAGGTGGCAAAGCCTGGCATTGGCAGGCATCTTCACCTGGAGTATTGAATTGCGTTGTTGTCAGTTCCGCCCACGCATGTGGCTCGACCCAGTTATCCTGGTAACAGCACACATTGTGAAACAGGAGCAATAAACAACTGACTATTGCATTTGACTGCATTGTTTTTTTTTTTATTATTATAAAACTACAAAATTAAATAAGACTTCAACTAAATTGCCAAGCGGTAAACATGATCACGATTGCGCGGTTGATGCTAGTGTTATAAAGTGCCAGCTGTGCTGTAGGACAGTACGCTGGCCAGTGAGCGAGACCAATATTTTTGCTACCTGCTTTGTCGTTGAACAGTAGTTCATGAGGAGCAATAGTTCCCGTTCAGTATTTAATTTTTGAAGAAACGTTTATGTTTTAAATGAACTCATTTATAGATAATAAATAATAAACAATATCAGGTAAAAATATTTATTAATTCCCATCAATTCATTGACAAAAAGCTGCATACATAGTTTACGTAGGCCTTGCCAGACTGTCTTGAAATAAAATATAAACATTGGAAAAGTGCTGCCAGACTTATCACAAAAAAATGATTCACGGACAGTGTTAAGTCGAATAGTTTAAACAATATAATAATAATTAGCATACCGTTATAAGCAAAGTGAAATGGGTTTATTTGGCAAAACTCCCAGCAAAGACCCCAAAGAACAGGTTAGATATCAGAATACCACATTGTTTCATTTCACTTTTGCGCATTAACAAGGCCATGGATTGCCTTGAAATGATGTCATGTTCCAATTGTTTTGATTCTTATTTTCCCCATCTGTTCGTTCGATATCTATAGGTGCAAGAATGGACGCACAAGTTGCGAAAAGAGGGCAATCAGCTTGATAGGCAGATACGAAGTATACAACGAGAAGAGGAGAAGGTGAAACGATCTCTCAAACAGGCAGCTCAAAAAAATGACCGCGACACCTGCATCATTCTCGCCAAAGAGATAGTGAATGCCCGAAAGGCGATAAATCGCATATACACATCAAAGGCGCATCTCAGCTCCATACAGATGCAGATGAAAAATCAATTGTGTATGTAAATTTGGTGTATTGTAGTTACTACTGCCACTAATTGATCTTTGAATTTCTTTTATAGCTACATTGCGGGTGGCTGGTTCTTTGCAGAAATCCACAGAAGTCATGCAGGCCATGCAGAGTCTTGTTCGATATCCGGAGCTGGCGGGCATTATGCGCGACATGTCAAAGGAAATGATGAAGGCCGGCATAATCGAGGAGATGTTGGACGAAACCATGGATTCGCTGGAAGAGTCTGAGGAGTTGGAGGAGGAGGCAGCAAAAGAGGTCGACAAGGTACTCTGGGAAATTACGGATGGTAAACTGGGCGAGGCTCCACTACCGCCAGAAGCAACACCAGCAGACAAGACACCAGCAGCAGCTTCCCGCGTTGCCGTCGAGGAGGATGACGATGATGGCGAAGAGCTGGAGGAAATGCAGAGTCGCCTGGCATCGTTGCGCTCATAAACAAGTTGCCGAACAGGGGCAGCATGCATGTAGCAAAATTTAGATTCGAATTTCGAAAATGTAGCTTATGATTATTATATTTATCATAGCACCCTGCACGCCACCCAAATCCAAAATCCAATAGTTTGCTGCTTACCCCGATAGTGAATTATAGAAACCAAAATAACAGTGAAACTCTATAAACAGTTTTTATAAGCTTAAGTGTACAATATTTTGGTTCATATTATGTTGAACTGCATGTGTTAAAATTGTAAACTTTTATACATATATAATTTATTATAATTGATCGGTATTAAATGTAACTTAAGCGTATATTCGGATTTTAGGCAGTTCTACGTCGTTCTCTGCACACAGAGGAATTTAAAACTCATATGGGATATGATATATGATGGCACAAGCCATATGGTCTTTTGGCCATGTTAATGACAACTTTCGACTTGATATTATTAAAGCATAACCTTAGGCTGAGACCCAAATAATATTTCCTGAAATACATATGAGAGAATCTATAAATTGTAAATGATATCTCAGAGGATCGTAGCATTCAGAACTCTTTGAAAATTTTAAAAATTCGGTGTTGTTTGTTATGGTCTTAGCTACGTGCTTCGCTCATCTTTAATACCAAGTAAGTTAAAGCTATTTGAATATTTTATGGTTCCAGTGTCGACTGTATCCAGTCTACATAAGGTCCGACTCGAGTATAGACGCCTGGCCAGCCATTCAGGCCACATGGCGTGGGTCCGAATGAAACAACGCCCGCCAGAAAATAATAGGTGTTCACCTTGTTTGTGTCGAGGCCTATGAGTGGGCCACCAGAGTCACCACGACACGAGTCGACGCCCTCCATGCCACCAGCGCACATCTGTGTATTCTCTAGGACAATGTTCTGGCGACTATAGACGGACTGGCACTCCGACAAGGTGAAGCCATCCACGGCGGCCTTCAGCTTTAGATTGCTGGACGACTTCTCCTCCGTCTTGCCCCAGCCAGCCACATCCATTGAAATACCATCGAATGTGGCCGATCGCAGATTAGTGTCCAACGGCAGACAAATGGGACGCACAAAGTCCGTATATTCGATTTGGCGTGCCAAGCGTAGCAGAGCAATGTCATTGAGTTGGTTCCTGGAATTGGGATCGTACGATGGATGCGGTATGGTGCGCTCCACTGGCACATCCAAGTGCGGTGGCGCACAATCCTTCATACCACGCACATCGACTTCACAATCCGGATTCGTTTCGGTGTCCCATTCACCAAGACGCGCTCCCGTCAGACGCCAGTCAGTGGGCAGAGATTTACCATTGACGCAATGCGATGCAGTCACTACGTAGCGAGTGCTGATCAGTGATCCGCCGCAGTGGTGACCCTTGCTGCCACTACCTGAGGAAACGAATACATTTATTCAATGGTTTCACATTGTCGCTTAGCTACCTTTGGTGTATTCGATCAGCGCCATCCAGGGGAATTCATCGATTTTTGTCTTAACGCCGCCATAAATACGATTTGATAATATATTTCCACACTGACCCGGCAATGGCAATAAGCTTGTGTCTGTTTTGTTTGCTATGGGTCGTACTGTCGTCACCGGCGTGGTGTCCCGGTAACGATCTGGGCAACAAATCTGCAAGTCAAGATATTGCTTACGGCGTAATTTGAGAAGTTTATATGATGCTGACATACCAAAACCTTCTGATTGAAATAGCCACACTGGCTACGACTGAGATATAGTTTATCCGCGTCTAGTAGAGGTGTTGATGTCAGTATTCCGTACAAATACTTGCAATCCTCCAGATGGATGCACAATGCACGCTCTCTATTAGGCGTGATGCATCGTCCATAGTTCGGCACTTGGTTAGCCTCATTGGGAAAATAAAATTCTGCGAACAAGTCACAAAAATATATAGTGAATCAATCTGTATATACATGTATTGAGCATTTGAATTAATAATTTCTATTTACGTTTAGTTCAAAATAAAACTGGTTTCGGAATAGCTAATCTACCGAGAGAGCTGTGGTGGCCCCCAGTATACATAGTCATATTTACATACCAACAAACATGCAGATATTTGTGTGTATAAATCATTATTCTTTAGGCTTCTTTAATGATTCAACAAACTTTTCACTGCCTTTGGCAATTTAGCTACTTACGCGAATTTGCCGAACTCACAGCAAGTCCCAAAATTAAGTAGATCGAAAATGTTTTCAGCATGTTTCGTTTTATTATGTAACACAAGCTTTCGGCTAAAACGTCGTCAGTTATATGCAATATTTTTGTTGTTTTTTATTTGTATATCTCTTAATGTCCTATTCAAGTAAATGCAGCAATTAAATAAATATGATGACCAAAACGGAATCTCCGTTGAACTTCACTCGGCAGCCGGTCGCTACGAATGAAGAGGCCAGAGCAAGGCTTCGCGTACAACTGAGACGCAGCGAAGCGGCGAGCGCAGCTTAAGGGAGAACTTTGTCTGAGCTTTTGCTTGAGCTTTTTGTTTTGTTCTCCGTTTTCTTCAGTTTGCGAGTTGTTTGTTGTTTCCATCGAAAATGTGTAAGCAGGGTATGCTGGTTTTGTGAAATGTATGTAACAGGTAGAAGGAGGCGTGGCAGACCATACCATACCGTATAATGAGTGTAGAATTAGACATTCCCATAACTCAGCAGTAAGCTGCGAAGAAAGAAGAGCATGTGCTTATGTGAGTGTGTGTGCCTACATAATTTGTTTATATTGTATATAAGCTCTCGCAGGTTGTAGAGTATCTCCTAGTCGAGCAGCCTCGGCTGAAGCACTCTCCTTTTTATTTATCTTTATGTTTATTTATAGTATTTATATTGTATAGGAATAATACACAACGGTGAACTCTACGTGTGTGTGCGCAGAGTTTCGGCTTTGGCGTTGAAAGAACTTTGGAAAAAGTCATGTCTCTCGCAAATCTTCCGTTCATGTATTTTGCATATTGATGCTGTCAAAGATCCAGTTTATATAGGAGCTGACAGCCGTGTAAACGCCTGGAATTGTTGTCACGCCGCAAAGGGTTGGCCCAAAGGCCACAATTCCGAGCAGCGTGTAACGTCCGTTGGCATTGAGGATGCCGGAGGTGCCGTCGTCCATGAAGGGACCCCCACTGTCGCCGCGACACACATCCTTCATGGGCTGGCCCTGGGCGCACAGGTGGTTCGGCGTAATGACAATCGGCTGCTGGAAGTTCTCGCTAAGCGTCGCATAGGTAATCGCACAGCTGGTCGTGTTCACAATGGGCAACCGGATGAATCGCACCGTAGGTGAGCTACCGGAACTGTTTGAACTGTTAGCTGTAAAAAAAAAAAAACCGAGTAAGCGTACGAAATGATTTCACACTGGGTATAATCAATGTGATTCATTTCAGTTTTATTTATCTTAAGTATAACAACATACTCTCCGCTTTTGTGCTCCACCCGGCCACAACACCCATTTGCCCAATAATTTTATCCGCAAGCGCTGCCGTGCTATTCAAAGGTAAACATATTGGTGTGAATTTACCTGCAACAATATTAAACTACTACAATATCGTGGTGCGTGAGAAAGGTAATCTTCGTATACTTATACTGTTGCTGAGCCCGAGCAGTGCTATATCGTTCGCGTACTTCGGCTGGTCGTAGTTGGGATGCACCAGCACGCGTATAATGTTGAATATATTCGGTTTAGAACAGTTCGCAGTATTCGGGGCGCAATCCTGAGGGCTGGAGATGTCGTCGCCTATACGCACCTGAAATCTATAAAGATAAATTTGAAGATGGCTTAGTCTGTACTAACTATCGCCCATCTATCTTCCAGTGCAAGCCGACTTTGAAGCCCACTTTAGATCTATATCATTCACATCTAAAATTGACCAATTAAGGCTTGCATCGAAGGCAAATTAAGAGTTTCTCGGCAAATCTTGATTAGCCACAATTGATGGTTAATTTTCAGTTTCAGTTTCATTTTCATTTTTTACATTTAAAGATTCATCAGCTGAGACTTACACTTCCAGATCACTCACTAGGTTAACAACACAATGGGCGGCGGTAAGAACGTAATTGTTGGCAATGAGAGAGCCAGAGCAGCGATAGCTGATGCGATTGTTGGCTGTGAATGGAGAATGGAGACAATAAACAATAGATTAATCAATTAATGTTTCAATATGCTTGCTTGCAGATCTGACAACATGATTAAGGGATGTCCCTGCAAAAGTGCAACTAATACAGATCCCAATTGTTCATATTGTGCCAACGGCAAGCAAAATTCTGGGAAACAAAATAAAGGCGGATCGTACGATCCGAATGGCTATCCCAATTCGAAAAATGGGGGTCCCCATGATGGTAGCAACAATCCTTCAAACCAAAAGGGAAAGTCGGGGGCTCGCGGCAACGATTCGCAAGGAGGTGACGGTAGCGAAAATTCGATGTCACTTCTAAAAGCAGTTCTTGTTTTCTCCATTGGTTGCTTTCTAACCATGCAGATGACTAACGTGGCTAATGAGCTAGGATAATCGATCTATTCTGTTCTGTTTGATTTGTGCTTTTTTTGTTCATTAACCGAATGTCAAGGTCTAACATGAAAACACGTACTCAGGCACTTGTAAACCATTCCCAATTGGATTGTATTAATAAATTTTTTGTTTAAATTATTATACTCACTGCGATTGCGATACGCGATTCGGACAAACCACGGATATTGGCCTGGCTCCACCTTGTCGCCGCCCAATAGGCGTGTGTTCAGACTGACTCCACAGTCGGCTGAGTTAAGCCTCACACCTGTCGCTGGTGTCACAGGGTAGGGCGTGGTTGTGGGCGTGTTGTCATGTATAACTTGCTCCTCACTTGCATCGGCAAAGAGTTCGACCTGATCGTTCAAGCCCGTTGCATGTTGGAAACGCAGGTCACCGGGAAAGACAATCGGCCTATCAGCAGGTATTGGACGCAACTCTTTCTTCGCCGTCTCCATATCGTGATCAATGTGAAAGTGAAAGTGATGTCCGCTGCCAAACTTATAAGGATGATCATCATAGTCCTCTTCAAGTGGTTGGGGACAATTGCGTTGAGCCGCAAAATCTCGATAATCGAGTAATCGCATTTCAGTCTCATGCGCCAAAAGGCGATTGAGGTTGACGTTGACTCTTGGATTGCGCTTTGAGCTACTTGAAGGGCCCCAGATCCAGCGTTCGCTTGGAGCATAGCGTAAACTGCGACCGATGTGTGAAGATGCCACCTGATGATGGGGACAGCAGGCAAGAGGATCGAGGCCCTGAAAGCCACAGCCAGCTGAGTGGACCATAGAAAATACAGAGGCGCGCTCTTCGGGCTTGTGGTTGAGCAAGAGCCGGACAAAGGGCACACAATCCTTGATCCGTATGCAATGGCAGACATTGGCCGGGCAAACAACTGCAAAATTCGATTTTGGTCTGAGGTAAACGCATGTGCAAATAATTAAAATACAAAAAACGCAGACTGAAACCAAGCAAATAGTCAAGGTCAATGTCTGCAAGCTAGAAGTGGCCAAAGCGCCAACAGAAGTCCGGTTCGGCAATTACTGAGTCACTTTTGCTGTCGTTTTCGCAATTATATTGTTGTAGTTTATTGCCCTTCGCTTGTTGGCTCAGAGCATGATGTTAGCATATTTGCTTTCGGAATTTCTAGACATTGACCTTGACCCAGTCCCACATGGGCACCGAGATGACGTCTGTTCTTTTGCTTCGAATCTGATTTGTCATACACTAGCAGCAGCTATGGATTCCAATAAGAGCGGAGCTCCAATAAGAGCGTCACTCCAGTTTGTTGCTTAAGTCGTTTGTTTGCTTCTTTCTTTGTACTTACACTGAAAGCACAATGTGCTAGTCACTACAAAGCAAATTAGCTTTACAAACCGCAAATGCATTTTGCGCTTTCGTTCAGTGGCTGCTACAATTTTTCCCGTTTAGATACACACTTATAAACAGCACATACACACACTAACACTCAGACGCACGCGCACACACACACAGTCGCGGGCACAATCGTCGTCAGTCTGCGGACTATTCTGAGCTGATCAGACGCGAGCACAACTTTTGCCGTCGAGGTGCAAAATAAAATTGAAATAAATTGGTTCAATATCTGAGTATATCTTATTTCCATTTCCATTTTGACGGCGGAGTGCAGCTGTTGTTTTTGCTTTTTTAATTTTTTTGATTTTTATTATCAACAACGAATCAAAACAAAGAGGGAACAGAAAATAAATTGAATGCCCCAAAAGCTGAACTTATGAAATAGCCACCACTACACACGCAAACAAAGAAACAACACACACACGCACACTCACTCATATGCATATACGTATCAACTAATTTGAGTAGAGCTGAGAGAGGCAAAGGCAGCGAACGATCATAACTGGCCCAAAATCTGAGTGGCACTGACACCTCGTGCGTAAGTCAACATGCCGGCAACACGAAAGTAAAGCACGCACACACACTCGCTCATTCATATGCATGCATGTATACATATCACTTAAAAACATGTTTTCAAGTATTTCCGAGCTATCCATTCTGAGTGCTTGTAAATGGGCTATCGACATTTACAAGAGAGTGCAAGACCTTCATATCCTTTAAAAGTGCGCGATCAGATGTGCTTGAATATATATATATTTTGATCATAGATTGAACTTAAAATATTACTAACATATTTAGTAAATCAGCTTACGCTAAACATAAATGCACAAATGACATGAAATGAACTTTTGCTTAATATACATATGTATGTATGTCTAGAAATGTGTATATATGGAATGTATTGATTCTGATGGCGTACAATGCTATGCGTATGTTCTCGATAAGCCGATTGTTTTTTTTTCTCCTTTCTCGCTTGCTCTCCGTGTATTTATGCCACCGGGACTACCTCGGGCGCAGCAGCTACAGAGACAATGACACTGGCTGAAACGTTATTCTCGACCTGTTCTACAGGTTCGATAGTCGACTGCGATTGCTGCTGCTGTTGTGGCTGCAACGGCGACTGCTCTGCTGGGGACGTATTCACCGCAATCGTTGTCACTGATGACGACGTCCCACGAATGCCATTAGTATCAGCATTGCTATCATTGCCAGCGAGCTTGTCGTCATCATCATCATCAACTGGCGTTTCTTGACGCAACACCGCTGCCAAGTGGTTATCGTTAACTGTGTCTAAAGTCTGATCGCTGACACCGTTTGTTGCATCTGCTGCCGTCGTTGTTGTTGTTGTTGCAACTGCTGCTGCCGCCTGCGTTTCTATTGTACTTGGCAACGTTTCTTGCTCTGCAGTCGTTTGCTCCAATTCAGCGTACCCGTTGCCGCTAGTTCCATTTACATTTAAATTCACAGATACATCACCATTGTGCATAGAGTGTGAAGTCTTCAGTTCATTGATGATTTTTTCTCCCACTTTTGGGTCCAATTCGGTGATTTTCTCTTGCAGTTTACTTTTAAACTCGATCGGCCATTTGGGACTCCATTGACGAAACAGTTTAATCTGTTATAAAAATAAGCCTTAGCAAGAGAATGTAACGGATTAACTAAATGTTCTTCATATATTTACACGGCATTGAAAAAGACTCATGGGTTTTTCCTGTACACCCGAAGTGGCGAGGGCATTGACGACGCCATTTACATAGGTACTGCCAGCATGTCCATCTCCGCCTGCACTCACGGACGTGTCTCTGGTGAGATACTCTACCAACACATAGACAAAATCATCGCGCTGCAGCTCACTCCATTCGTTAAACCATTGAATAATATAACGGAACTCGCCGTCAACTGATAAATTGCTCATATTCATATTTGCATATATTTATTCACTGCACACTGTCTCACGCTGACACGCCCCCGCACATGCACTTTGAAATGGTTAGTTGGCGACTGAGTATAACAGCCAGAATGATTATAATTGCAATTCTATTTGAAGTCCGCTCAAGCCAGGTTCTGCTTGTGTGCCTCAGTGCTGCTATTCGCCTCAAAGTTTCTATACTAACAACAACCCGTTTCTAATTTTTCTTCGCCGCTTGATTACAAAGCCCAGCTCACAACAGCTGTTACGGCTTCTTAAGCTATCGATAATAAGATATGCGGCGTTGTGCAGCACCTGCAACTGTGCTGCAGTGCATTTAAGCGCATAAGTAAATATGAAGCAATGTATTTGAAATTGAAATATATATTATATCAATTTCTTTAGTATTGAACACAATTCGGGCAGTAAGTTCTATTGACATATGTTTATGCAATATTGATAGAATTATATTACGATTGAGCTGAGAAGTTATCTACTCTAGTTTTGAAAATATCAACATATCGATAAGTTGCGCCTTCCCGCTTGTTGCACAGCACTAATCATTGTGGCGTTTCTCAACTCTTGAAAGTTTGCAGACAGTAAATAATATTAGAGAACAGCTAGGCAGAAAAAATTGATCAATTAAAATAAAGTATGTCGTCGTCAGAACAGGAAATCCAACAGAAATCTATTGATAATCAGCAAGAACAAGTGTCTAATGCAGATATTAATGCCACCAAGCCTGATTCGGCGACGGATGCAACGCAACATGATTTTGCCGCGGCTGAGCAGTACAAAAATAAGGGAAATGAATTGCTCAAAAGTAAGTTGTCATTTGTAAAATTGAAATTGAAACAAACTACAATTAGACAGTTTTGATAATGACTGGCATGAAAGCACATGCAATCTAAAAAGCAGTTGTATGCACCCACTGCGCGTCCCGTGTTGCTAGTACGTTTTTTTCTCGACCTAACCTTAAAAACAATTGACTAGCAGTGGCGCTATGTGAATATAATTTTTACAGTAGCTTTTGAAATTAAAATCTGCATATTTTAATTGAAACATATAGTTAATGTCAAATATGTAATCGTAATCAATTCTGTCATTTCGCAGCTAAGGAATTCTCGAAAGCCATTGACATGTATTCCAAAGCCATAGAACTTTACCCCAGCAGTGCAATATACTATGCTAATCGGGCCCTCGCGCATTTGCGCCAGGAAAGCTTTGGCTTGGCCCTGCAGGATGGCGTTTCGGCAGTAAAAACTGATCCCACTTATTTAAAGGGCTATTATAGGCGCGCGGCGGCCCATATGTCCCTAGGCAAGTTCAAACAGGCGCTATCTGATTTTGAATATGTAAGTACAATTGGTTTGTTACAAACCTGTTACGCATGAATTGATAAGCTATCTGCTTAGGTGGCCAAATGCAGACCCAATGATAAGGACGCTAAACTAAAGTTTACCGAGTGCAGTAAGATTGTCAAAATGCGAGCCTTTGAGCGTGCTATTGCTGTGGATAAGCCAGAGAAGTCTCTCTCGGAGATGTACAGAGACATGGAGAACATCAGTAAGTAATCAAATTATTTTATTTAAATATTGAACTCACAATCAAGTCCTTGCATTCATAATTAATTAATGTATATTTTTAATGTAGCCATCGAGGACGACTATAAGGGACCTCAACTGGAGGATGGCAAGGTTACTTTAAAGTTCATGAAAGACCTTATGGAGCATTATAAAGCACAAAAGAGACTGCATCGAAAATTCGCCTATAAGGTAGCGTTATTGCATTTGAGCCTTAATATGAAATGTATAGCTTATGTATGATTGCAGATACTCTGTGACATTGATGTGTACATGCGTGCACAGCCGTCCCTTGTGGATATTAAAGTTCCAGATGAAGAGAAGTTTACTATTTGCGGCGACATTCACGGCCAGTTCTATGATCTAATGAATATCTTCGAAATAAACGGGTTACCTTCAGAGAAGAATCCGTATTTATTCAATGGAGATTTTGTCGATAGAGGTTCATTCTCGGTTGAATGCATATTCACGCTCTTCGGATTCAAGTTGCTGTATCCGAATCATTTCTTCTTATCGCGTGGTAAGCTAACGTTAGTGACGCCAGTCGTCGAACTCAGGACTTACGAAACTCATTTACAGGCAATCATGAGAGCATCAATATGAATCAGATGTATGGATTCACGGGCGAGGTTACCGCCAAGTATACCAGTACAATGGCGGATATATTTACGCAAGTATTTAACTGGCTGCCATTATGCCATTGCATTAACCAGAAAATCCTGGTAATGCATGGCGGTCTGTTCTCATCAGACAATGTTACATTAGATAACATAAGGCGAATTGAACGCAACTGTCAGCCACCGGAGGAGGGACTCATGTGCGAGTTGCTCTGGTCCGACCCGCAACAATGGATGGGTCGCGGCCCCTCCAAGCGCGGTGTGGGTATACAATTCGGTCCGGACGTCACTGAGGCATTCTGTAAAGCTAACAATTTGGACTACATCATTCGCAGTCACGAGGTCAAAGACATGGGCTATGAAGTGGCCCACAATGGGCAATGCATAACTGTCTTCTCTGCGCCAAATTATTGGTAATTATCACTAATTAAAACTATCCGAACTGCTCAAGTACTAAACTTCCCTTTACAGTGATACTATGGGCAACATGGGCGCATTTATAACAATTACTGGTAACAATTTAAAACCAAATTACACATCATTTCAGGCTGTGGTAAGTATTGATGTAGAACTCTTTAATAAATATGTTAATCATATTGTATTTGTTATTCACAGCCACATCCTGATGTTAAACCCATGGCCTATGCCAATAGTCTTATGAATTGGCTGGCGTAGTCATAGCGGCCTGCTTCCTATGCATAACAATAGCTATGAACACCACATTCTCCCACACCCCTGTCCACGCTTACAAATCCACAACTGCATTATAACGATCAAAACCAACACGGGATTCCAAATTGCTCAAAATACCTCTATGTACACAGCTTGCTAATTGTTCTACGATTTAAGTTCGAGAGAGAGAGAGACAGTTGTGGTATGTAGGGATGAGAGCTTCAGAATAGCAATCTTAAAAACAAATACAGCTATATTTGATACAAACTTTGCATACAAGAATGATTATATAAAGATGGCTTTAGAAGTCGGATGCTAAGTTTAATTGGTGCTAAGCATCTGAGTATTCACTGTATACAGTGTATGTTCGATTTGAAAAAATACATAAAACAACGTAAACAGTGAGTAAAGTATGAGTATTGTGTTTATGCATAGCATTTCTATATTGGCAATAAGGTGCGCGCCCACACTCAACTACGAAGCCCTTTACTTTAAATTTTATTTCCAAAGGCTACAATTCTGTATAAATTAAATTTTTGTTCGATCCTTGTTTAAATATACTTACAAGTCATTTTAATAAAAAAAAACTATGCAAGTTAGAAACAAATAATTGAATATTTTTAATTCAAGGATTAGTGCTTCAGTCGTTGGAATGAAAACAATTCAGCATTGTAATAATACAATTAAGTTGGAATCAAATTATAACTTTATTTGAGCCCGTCGATTTCTGTTGGCGTTGCTAATCTAAACCCTAAGCTGTTGAAAATTTTATTCACGTTGATTTTATAGTCCTTGAGATGCGCTCGGTGCAGGAGCGATACATACACAAATGGTCCGTTGTAGGTAGATAAATCTTCATAGAACTGTACGGCCAGTTCTTGCAACTCCTTTGGCTGTGCTTGGGATAAGTACGAGGCCACAGTGTTCAGCAGGTCGTGCAGATGCTTGCCCTCAATCTGCAGGCTGCGTATGACTGTCGGAAGATCCTGCAGCAGCTTAAGCTGCAGTTTGTACTCCTGTGTGGACGCTTTTAAGATTTCCGTACAGCTGTGGTTACTGGCTGTCTGCAAGAACTGCTTAAGTTGTGGTATCACATCGCTGAGACTACGCTTTACAATGAATTCTTTAGTATGCAGGGCGAGAATGTGTAATAAGCTAAAGCACCGGTTTAGCACCACCGGATCCTTTTGCCGAAACTTTTCGACTAACGGCGCCCACAACAGATGCACAAGAGGAAGAAGCTCGTCCTCGTAGTCCTTGAGCAGGGGTACACCACTTATCAGGCATTCCAATGCGAGAATTTGCTGTGTTTGCTCTGAATTTGAAAGAAACTTGACGGACTGACCAATAATCTCTTTGATGAGTTCAATATGACGCGGCAAACTGGGCTTCGAAGGCTCTTCCGCTGGAGAATCATCGAGGTCTGCTTCAGGCATATTTATGTCTGCTTCTCCACTTGGCACACTATTCAAGTCAATAGGAATGTCAGTTGGCTGCTTATTGAGCACATTCAACCAAGTATTTAAGATATTGTTATCTTCATCTACGTGCATTGGAGTGTCAGAGATCTCAGTAGCAATGGTGTCTTGCCAGCTGACCACGTGTCTCAGGAATGCATTGAAGACGCGCAAGTAGGAGTGAACATTGCCCGTTTGATGTGACTTGGTGCACTCTTCACATATCGTTTGAAAAATGCTCTCCAGATGTGGAACATTTCCACGCGTGCTGTACTGCAATACGACAGTGAGTATATCTACGGCTGCACTGCTCTCCGGTGACTATAATGGAGAAGGTAGTCGATGTAGTCATAGTTTCGCTTGCTCTACAGCCGGGACTTACCTTCTTCAGTAGTGAATTGAGATGAAAGGTTAGGTAATCCGTGGAGCATTCTATGAAATGCGAAGGGGCTGCATACTTTAAGGCCACCTGCATGGAGACGAATGCAAATGTAGCTGCCTGATGCACCACCGTGTTGCTGCTAGCTGTAATTGAATGACTGCCTTACAGATTGGACACGACATGACATCATGAAGGCAATGCTTACCCAACTTTAGCAACACCTTGTGCAAACTGCGAAATATATGGCGGTCAAAAGTATCACCAATGAACAGAGCACAATGTCCCAGGGCATCCAAGACTAAGCAGATATGTTGAACGTTGAACTGTGCATCCAAACTGGTGACACGACTATGGACTGGGTCGCTCTCATCATCTGAGTCGCAATCCTGAGTGCGCACTTCCAGCGCCGATGAGTATAGACCAGGTGTGTAATCTTTAAACCAGGCGGAAGACTGCAAAGGTTTATAAATTAATAAATAATGATTCATAAATAATGAAATGCCAACCTTTTCGACCTTAAGTCGCCAGGCTGCATCCGGTTGCAGTGCCAAGTGCCAGTGTTCTTCGGCCAGAAGTTGATCGACGAAAAGTTCCGCCAGAATTAGGCGACTCTCCCGAGCAATCCGCTGCTGGGATGTAATCATCGTGGTCATTAGTAAAATTGATTCATTCATCGCAGAGTTGCGTCGCTCGATCAGCTCGTGGCAAACATCAAACACCAAACGATTTATTGAAGGCTCAGTGCCCAATATTGCGGCAATGTCATAAAGCGTATTTATGCAGCGTGTGGAACTAAGGTATTTGAATTGGCGCCAATGCAGTTTGGCACACTGTGCCTTCACTTCCCTTGTAGTGTCCTCCTGAATGCGTCGCAATGCGTATTCCTCATTCAGCAAAGTCGGCGATGAGCGCTGATCAAAGGCCGTCAGCAAACACATGACAAACAGATCCAGATTCTTGGGCAACAGGAACAGCACTTGTAACTTATTAGCGCTGAGATTACGCAAGAAGCCCTTGAAGAATAGCAATTCGGCGAATTGCTCGCTGTCATCGCAACGCTGTAAGATGCGTGGCCATTTGTTGAGATGACTGTCCAGCAGCTGCTCAGCATTCTCATCGAAGATGGCGGCACAGCTGGGCATTGTTTGCAGTTCAGCTAGATTCGCCTGACACATATTCCCTATGTCGTTGTCCTCATCCTGCGATAGAGCCACCACGCTCTCCAACAGGTAAATAAAATTGCACTTCAAACTGTGCGCGCACCTTTTCAGCAGTAAGCAACACATCTCCGCGTACTGCCGCCGCACAATTACAGAACTATGGGCTCGCAAGATGCACGTGTCCACAAATATGCCGCTCATTCGTCTTGATGTGACTTCCATCCACTGTGCAGATCGTAAATTCGTCTGAAGAAACTTTAAGCGCTCCTCGTTTTCCTCAAGCGTACGGCGCTTGCTGCCAAAAATGTTAATATCATTTAGGAGATCTGTGTTGTCGCCTTTAGGAGGCGTGCTAAAAAGCGATTTGAATGCATTCACATCGTAACGTGCCCTTAGAAATTCATTGGAGGTTTCCTCAAACATGATGCAGGTGATACGGCCTAGTGCTTTAAGGGCCAACTAGAATAATTCCATTGTTTAATCAGTGTCATTAATTACAAATTCCATTGAAGACTTACTATTTTAGTTGTTTCGCCTATTTTATCATCTGCCATTGCAGTTTCGTACAGCACTGTAACTATTTTGGGAAGGAAGATGAATATGGTGTCGGCTATTTGTTTGCGCAATACCACATCCCCAGCATCGGCATCATCGTGCACGTAGAATAGCACCAACAAGCACTCCAGCGATGAATTAACCAATTTGCGATACTTCTCCTTGGATATGATCTCCATCAATGTGAGCAGTATTTGGCCAATAGTCACAACTGTGTTCTGGCTATAAAAATTTTCGAGCACATCGCTTGCGGTTCGTTGTAAGATGACTTTGATGAAAAGGACGACCGCCAATTTGATTTCCTCTGTGAGATTGGGCATCAACGCAGCACCATTAGCGTTTCGTATCTGTTTCAGTACCACCACCAGCAGAGAGCAGACAGCCTTCTCATCCGTCAAATACAGATAGGAAATAATGTGTCGGAGGCAGTTCACCAAACTTACGCGCAGTTCTTGACTTTCACTGCACAATAGAAAGATTTATTTGTAGCTGTCAGATTATTTTCTAGCTCATTGGACTTACCCTGTTAAAGCATCCAGCTTAACCATGAGTGGTACTACAATTTGTATTTGAAATATGCGTATTTGTCCAAAGTCAAATTCACTTATTTCTTTCTCAACTATTGACATGTTTGCTATATTTGGCTCCTTTATAAAATTCTCAATAGCCGGCTTAATTCGCGTGACGTATGTTTCTACCGATGATATTTTAGACATGATGAATAAGTTTCGAAACGTATTTCTCTTAGCCAGAAACAAATTGAAAAAATTTCAGCAAGATGAGCGGCAAGTTGGAAAAAAACAGCTGATGGTAATTTTGCTGCAGAGTGCCATTCACATGTTTACGTAAGCAACAAAAAGACGTTACTCTGGACCGCGCCAAAGAAACAAAAATAAAACCCATCCTTTCTAATAGCATATTTATAATTAATTTTATATTTTTATTTCGTACATGGCAATATTTAATTATAAAATTCGTGCTGAGATTCATTCTTCCGCACGCTTGTTTTGTAGCCTTTTTCAAAGTCTTTAGCGTGTGCGATATAACGATTTTCCCGAACTGCATGCATTCCAGCTTCCTGGCAAATCGCGTTGATGTCGGCATTCGAAATTTTGTCCGGGCGAGCAATGAGCTCCTCCAAATCAACGTCTTCGGCTAGATTCATTTTGGCTGTTATGGTGGTAAAAATCAAACGCTTTTGACGGCGGTCCGGCAACGGAAATTCTATCTTGCGATCCAAGCGTCCGGGGCGAAGGAGGGCTGGATCTAAAGTATCAGCGCGATTAGTGGCCATAATTACCTTGATGTTGGTGGTTTCATCGAAACCATCCATTTGATTTAATAGCTCTAGTAATATGCGCTGAACTTCGCGATCGGCGCCGGTTTGAGCATCAAAACGTTTGGTTGCAATCGCATCGATTTCATCAATAAAAATAACGGATGGGGCATTCTGTTTGGCCAGGCGGAACAGATCACGAACCATACGTGGTCCTTCTCCCAGGTATTTTTGCACAAACTCCGAGCCAACAACAGCAATGAAAGATGCTGTGGTGTGATTAGCGACTGCTTTAGCTAACATTGTCTTGCCGCAGCCAGGGGGACCGTAGAGAAGCACTCCGCGTGGTGGGTCAATGCCTAGAGATATGGAAATGAACCTGTTTACCTATTTAATTTCAGCAAACTTATTTACCAATCTGCTTATACAAATGCGCGTGAGTCAATGGCAATTCGACAGCTTCGCGTATTTCTTGCTTTTGCATATCAAGTCCGCCAATATCTGCATAGGTTATATTGGGTCTCTCTTCTGGCGACAACATTGAGATGGTACTGTCTGCCTCCGGAGGCACCAGGTCCACTAAACAGTTACTTTGCTTGTGCAACGCAACCGAAGTGGACGGCTTCAGTTGTTCCCTGTCAATTGTGGACAGCACGCGCACATAATAATTGGAGCCCGTGGTGGATGCCACAATACCAGTGTTCTCATCAACTGCCTCGAGAAATTGCCCAATGACCAGAGGCACAGCCTTGGCCCGCTTCACCTCTTCCTGTGCGTGCACATACTCTTTTTTCAGATAGCGCTGCTCCTCCTTAATGTAGTCTTCCTGCACATGGAGCAATTCCAGCTGCAGCTGCAATCTCTTATACATAACATAAAAATCGCTTTCATCTAAGATTTTCGGTTCATTGTTATCCATTTTATCGTCTTCAAAAGCTACTTTTACTTTTCATTGGCCGTCAGACGATGCTGATGAGGATGACTTGAAATTTCAAATCGTTTTAGGAAATCAGTGCTGTGTAGGGTTGCCAGCTTTCACATTCACGATGATTGCGTGCGTCGTGAGAGCTCGTGAGTCATGAGCAGCTGATGGGCAGACCTGTTGTTGCTTTTGTCTTTATGTTTTTGTTGCTGCAAACTTGGAACGGTTCTATTTTTAAAACAAATTTCGATTTTATTTTGGAAATGTAAATTTTGCTCCAAAGAAAAACAAATATACGTTGTATGGCAGGTTAATTGGACATACTTGGCAATGCTGAAAATTTAAAGCAATTTTGATAACAATTACAAATTTGTTTACGCCGGCCGGTTATTTGATCAAAATAACACGTCAGTGTTGGTGATATAGATATATGTGAATTTACCAAAATACATACGATTTGGTGTCCCAACCATCATGGCAATTATGTAACATGCCAATTTCATATCCAGCGAAGAGTCAATATTAATCTTTATTCATTCGCTCACAAAAGCTGTGAACTGAAATGGACGGCCTGGTGTTTATGACGGCTGCGGCCCACCTCGTCTATACACCCTTCACTAAGGTCGAGGAGAGCTTCAATTTGCAGGCCATGCACGATATCTTATATCTGCGCAACAATTTCTCGCAGTACGATCATCATGAGTATCCAGGAGTTGTGCCTCGCACTTTTGTTGGGCCCCTCATTGTATCGATGTTCTCTGCTCCGTTTGTGGTGCTCTTCGAGATGCTGAGCATCAATAAATTCTGGGCCCAATATGTAGGTAAAAGACACTGATAAATGAAACTCTCGACATGGAACTCTTACGCTAACAAACATCTTTCACAGTCCGCCTTGTCTTAGCTGGAGCTATTACAGTTGCGTGGAACAATTTGCGAAAGGCCGTTACCAACATCTATGGCATCGAAGTGCGTCTATGGTTTACGGCTATAACCATAACGCAATTTCACTATATTTTCTACATGACGCGGCCCCTGCCAAACATCTTTGCATTGCCATTTGGTACGTTGCTCTATTATATTGATTCCTTCAATATTAAATTACTTTGATTTATTTCAGTGCTCTATGCAATTACGTATTGGATGCGCGGCCAAACCAAGCCATTTATCATATGCTCTGGCATTGCAATCATTGTGTTTCGCTCCGAGTTGGCATTGTTTTTGGGGTTGCTGCTTGCGCAAGATCTGCTGAGGCAAAAGTTATCTATCGATGGGTGCGGCTAGAAATATTTCTTAAATAGGTCTTGTAACAATTTAACAACTTTTATCTTTCACAGTTTACTGAAGATTGCTTTGCCGGCTGGAGTGTGCATTTTGGCAGCTACTGTATTGGTGGACTCGTTCTTCTGGCGCCGCCTACTATGGCCTGAGGGCGAAGTGCTGTGGTACAATACGATACTCAACAAAAGCTCAAACTGGGGCACGTCCCCATTTCTATGGTACTTTTACTCGGCACTTCCACGGGCTATGGGTGCGTCATTGTTCTTTGTGCCGATTGGCATTTACTTTGAAAGGCGCCTACGACCCCTGGCTCTTTCGGCATTGGGATTCGTGCTGTTGTACTCAATACTGCCACACAAGGAACTTCGATTTATCATATACGTATTTCCTGTTCTCAATATTGCTGCAGCCTGCGGCTGCCATCGTTTGTAAGTTTGCACACATAGTTAATGAATGTTCGCCTCTAGTTCAACTTATTTTTCTTTAAAGGTGGATGAACAGTGCCAAATCCGCATGGCATAGCTTCCTGGCATTGATTGCAGCGTCGCATTTGCTTGTCAATGTGCTGATAACCATATTCCTGCTTGTTGTCTCGGGAACCAATTATCCAGGTGGCGCAGCGCTCTCTCGGTTGCATCGTCTGGAGGGGGCCAATTCAAATGTAACGGTTCATATTGCAAACTTGGCCGCACAGAGCGGTGTATCGCGTTTCATGGAAATCAACAGCAATTGGACCTATAGCAAGGATGAATCAATGAACTATACTCAAGCGGAAATCGCCATCTATAGTCACTTGTTGGTGGAAGCGAAAAATAAGCACAACACGGAGCTGTGGGCAACATTGGAGGAGAATTTCGAAATTTTGGAGTTTATAGATTGTTTCAATAGCATCGGCATTCAGTACAACTCCATCCTGCCAGTGCGGATTAAAACAAAGCCTTGCATAGGTATTTTGAAGAAACGAGTGCCTGCTGAGACAGTGCTCCAACATGAAGAGAAGCCACCAAAGGAAAAGAGTCCAAAAGAAATTACGAAAAATAAACGAAAAGAGAAAATTGAGGCAGATAAAGTGGAAGTAACTTCAAATTTGCCTTTGGATAATGACATAAAAGAAGAAACCGAGTTGGACAACAAAGCCCCCGAGCCAATGGATAAATCTGAGCAACCCGTTATAGACCATATGGCGGTGCAGGTTGATGATGACGATGGCATAGTGGCTACTGTGGAGGAAGTATCTCTGGAACTTAATGATGGCCCTGAAGCAGCAAAAGAGATAAACTTTCAGGAACTGCGAAACCTTGCGCTGAAGCAAACGCCACAAAAGTCCCGCGCTGCTACCAAACTTAAGATTCGAAAAATAATTGAGCAGCACTTTAGAGCCAAGGGGCGGCATATTGAAAATGATTCTGCGGAAATCCAGAAGCCGCATGGCGTCCCACGTAGTGGACTGCGTCAATCGGTAAAGTCGATCATAAAGCAGGAGAAGATTAAAGAAATGATTGAACAGATTGCTACGATGGACTTAACACGCATCTGCGACCTGGAGAAGACCTCAACAAAGGAGTGCCTAAAGCAGGTCATAGACAAAATGGATGAGGAGAGTATAAATCAAAAATGACAAAAACCATGTCTGCCCCATAAGTTATAATTTATTTGATTATCTGTAATAAACTTGCTCCCAACGGCGAATTTAATGCTAATGTAGGTTTTATTTATGTTGAATGAAATGCTGCAGCCTTAGTGCTAATTGTAATGATATGAAAATTTGAACAAAATTGTCTAAATAGTAACATTACCACATGTTGAGTTTCGTAAACGTTGTTTGTGTGGTTAATATGATTAGAATTAAACACGATCTTAGATCAGGCCAATATATAGCTAAACCATAGAATAAAATCGCCCACAAGGCCTACGACGCAAAGCACAAGGGTCGACATGAATAGAACATTGTCCATGACCCCGCCCTTGAGGAAAACAGGTTTTCCATTGTCTTCTTGATATTGCTTTTGCAATTTGGCCATCTTGGGCGTTATCTTAGCACCAGTTCTCCCACTCATCTTCACCGGAGACATTTGAATGGAACGACTCGGCAGGAGCGGCGATGCAATAGAGTAACATCCATTGACTTGGCGCAAAAGAGGCTATGTAGACCTAATTAGTTTCATATGTACATATTTTTGATCTATTAATACGTACACGCAATTTTGATATCAGATTCCTTTGCATTGTGGAATACAATTTGCAAGAAAAGAGAAAATTTATTTTTTTTTATAATTACAAATTAAAGTAAAATTTTTGGAATGAGTCCGATAACTCACATAGTATACTATGTTTTAAAATTGATTCACATTGTACATATATATTAAATCAATTTAAAAATGCCTACTCTTCCACAGAAATTAAACCTAATTATTTGCACAACATAGTTTTTATGAATGTGATGTGAAAGACAATTTTTGAATAATCTAAAAATTAAAAATGCTTGTTAAATTACGCTAAATACAAATTTTAAATTGAAAATACAGAAGCTTTGCTATTTCGGAGCATTCAAGCTTTTCGCGCCAATATATCGATAACACTGATATTGATGCCGGCGTTGAGTCAAATTATCGCGCATGTATATATCAGGAATCGATTTTGCATGTTATACAGCCATATAGCAAAAATCTTTCATTTCTAAGAGAGTATTCCGTGTAAAAGACGCATACGCGGAAATATAGAAAAGTATAAGTAAAAAATTAATAAAAAGATTATAACTATGGCTTTGGCCACATACTTAAACCGTTCCGTTGCACGAAATTGCACGCTGAAGCCCATGGAGGCCGAGCATTGTGCCATACACTTGGTCAGCGGTGATAATGTGCTGGGACGCTGCAAGGAGACTGGGATCCGTGATGCCCGCTGTTCTAAGAAGCAGCTTCGATTACAAGTGAATTTGGAGATGGGACGCATTCAGTTGAAGGTGCTGGGTGTCAATCCATGTGGTATCAATGGTGCCATGGCGATGTATCACACGGAATGCGAGCTGCGGCATGGTGATCTGTTGGAAATTGTTTACGGCCGTCATCCCTACGAGGTGGTCTTTACTCCCGCACCAGAAACTCAAAAGGACAACGCAGAAACCACCCCAGAAGAGCAGGCGACACTTGCCATGGAAATTGCCAATAAGGAAGAGAAATGGGATTCTGTCGCGAATGGTAAAATGTTAATCTATAACAGTGCTGGCTTGGCTCCCTCCAGCAAGATAGCAGCCTATGACATGGATGGCACTATCATCAAGACAAAGTCGGGAAATGTATTTCCGAAGAATACCGACGATTGGCAGATCATCTATCCCGAGGTGCCTCAGAAACTACAGAGCCTGCATAAGGACGGGTACAAAATTTGTTTCTTCACCAATCAGGGTGGCATAGCGCGTGGCAAAGTCAGCCTAGAAGATTTTAAGACAAAAGTCAAGAACATAGTGAAGAAATTGGGTGTGCCGGTGCAGGTGTTTATAGCTATAGGCGATGGCTACTATCGCAAGCCGCTGCCAGGTATGTGGAAGCATCTGCTTAGCGAGATGAATGAAAGTGTCGCCATAAAGCTGGATCGTTGCTTCTTCGTGGGCGATGCAGCCGGAAGGCCAGAGACAGGCAAGGGTGCCACAAAGCAACGCAAAGATCATTCACTAGCAGATCGTCTGTTTGCTACAAACGTGGGCGTCTGCTTCTACACGCCCGAGTCTCACTTTCTTGGTAAACGCGCGGAGCACTGGAACAAGCCAGACTTCGACCCAAGCAGTATAAATAATCAGACACCGCAGTTTGAACCGGACGATGTTGAGTTTGACACAAAGAAATGCGAGATGATTATTATGGTTGGTCTGCCCGGCTCTGGCAAGAGCCACTTCTGCGCGGAGGTGCTTGGCCCCAAGGGCTACAAGATCATCAGTGCAGACACTTTGGGCAGCACACAGGCATGCCTAAATGCGTGTCAGCGTGCACTGAACGCTGATAAGTCATGTGTGGTGGATAATACCAATGTGGATGTGGCATCCCGTAAGAGATTCATGTCTCTGGCTATGGAGAAGGATGTTCCGTGCCGTTGCTTTGTGATGAACGTGACAGCAGCGCACGCTAAACACAATATTGCTTATCGCGAACTCTTGGAGACTGACCACTCTCCCATCAATGACATGGTATTCAACATGATGAAGAAGAAGTATGTTGCGCCAACCATGGACGAAGGGTTTACTTCAATTCACAAAGTGAATTTTAGGCCAAACTTTTCCAATGAGGAAGACGAGAAACTATACAAAATGTATTTGGTTGAGAAATAGCCATTCGCCTTTAATCCAATGTAAATATTCGTTTAGCAATATCATCGATAAGCCAGTCCATGGAACTTAGCAGCTTTTCTCCAGTTACTGCACTCACTCCAGCTACCAACCAGTGATGCGTACTGATGTCATCCAAACATAGTATCTATAACCGTAAAATATTATAAACTTATATGGATAATCGAAATAAATGTCTAACTACAATAATACCTCTTTGATTTCATTTGAACTTAGAGCGCCCGGCAAATCCTGTTTATTGCAGAGGACAAGTAACGTTGCCCCAGCCAAGCGCTCCTCTTGAAGCAGCACTTGCATCTCCTCCTTACACGATTCCATGCGCATACGGTCGGCACTGTCGACGACCCAGACCAACCCATCTGTGCACTCAAAATAGTTGCGCCAATACGAGCGCAACGACTTCTGTCCGCCCACATCCCACATATTTAGTGTGTAGCCGTTATGTTCTAGTGTTTTAATATTAAAGCCCAGGGTGGGCGAGATTGAGTCGATGGGCTCTCCATTGAAACGCTTGAGTATGGTTGTTTTTCCTGCATTGTCTAATCCTCTACAGAAAAATGAAAACATGAATCACAATTTTGTACAACTTTGCAGAAAATGCTTACAGCAATAGAATACGCATCTCCTTTTCCTTTTGACGCATCTTTTTTAATACTGTCAGAAAGCCCATCACCCGTTTTTATATTTCACTGTCTTTTAAAATAAATAAATAGATTTAATATAAACAGTTGTATTCCTAAGAGGAATAATTTAATATATTTTAATGTGAATGACAAAACGTGAGAATGGCATTTTACAAACGATCTGGCAGCGCCGTTCTCCAAAAAGTCAAACAGCTGTCATAATCTGAGGCCCGTGAATTTTTCGCTCAGCTCTTCGTACGATTTGTATTTAGGCTGCTTAAAATAAAAATAACTTCAGCAAAATGATGAATTTGTCCAGAGTAAGTACAAATACAAGATGAATATTATTTATTGACTATGAAAACACTTGATTAATAAATATATTGATCTCGGAGACTGGATATATTATGGTTCAATTACGTAAGATTACTGGAAGACCCCAAACTAACCGCACTTTTTGTTATCGCAGGCCGTTGTCCGTAGCTTTGCTACCACCGCCTCTCGTCGTGCCACCGCGACCAGCAAGGATCAGATTGAGAAGGGTTACTTCGAAATCCGCAAGGTGCAGGAGCATTTCCAGAAGAAGGACGGCAAGCCCGTTTTCCTAAAGGGCTCCACATTCGACAGCGTGCTCTACCGCGTCACCGTGGCGCTTGCCCTGGTCGGTATTGGTGGCATGGGCAAGCTCTTCTGGGAGCTCAGCGTGCCCCAGAAGGACGAATAAGGCGCAAGCAGTATAGTCTAACCCATTAAGCTAAGCCATTACCAGCAAATCCGTAATGCCATCTCCGGCATATTTGTTGCAGCGTAGTCACCTTATATTTCTGTGTCCAGATAGTGTAAGTAGTCCGTGCATCATTGTGTGATTTTTATTAATAACTTGTAATCATTTTGCAGAGCTAGAATCCTGGTGTACAACCCCTAGATTGTGTTGCTTGTGTTAGAATAATTAAGTTCAAAGTGTAACTCAACATTCGCAAAAGCATTTCAAGCGTGGAAATATAAGATCTTGGCTGTAAACTAAGATTACTAGAAGTTTTATTTCGGCAATTTATACAACCGAATCTTATGTTCGGATTGGGTTCCCTTTCTCTACATGTTTGCCGAATATTATTATATTTGTTTTCGGCTTACAAAAAGAAAACAGAAAATTTAATTGCATTGACATTAAGTAAACAAAAACAGTGCGACAAAATGAAAATTGCCGCCGTTGTGCCGATGTGTTGCCTTGGATGTGGCGAGGAGTCCGATTTATAAATCAAAGGGCGGCAACTCGGCGCGTTGCCTTTGGCATGGAAATGTATTTTAAATCGAGCGAATCATGCTGCGCTTTAACACACATTGCCAAGCGCACACACACACACAGATTCAGTCAGCATAGTGTGTATTTATTAATAACTGAGAAGCAGAAAAGGAAGAAAAAGCCTACAGAAGTGCAGCGAAATGTGCAATTTAAGGCGTTTTCATTAGTTATTTCTCCATAAACACTTACATAAAACTAAAGCATTTAAAATTAAAAAAAAAATAAGAAGGGAAACACAAATATGGCTATTTTAAGAGTTTTTTCTGTGCAATTCACACACACTTGCATATTCTCTGTTAGTTTCTATCTGCATGTGTGTGTGTGTGTGTGAGCGGTTGGGTGGGCGGGGCGAAATAAGTCGAAGAACAACTATTTTGCTATTTCATTTGCCGTTACGGCACATTTAAATTTTGAGATGTGCACGCGAAGCGCATAAAAATGAACGCGAGTTTACCGTTAACATATTTTGGATGGATGATGTGTGAGTGCTTGTGTGTATGTAGGTGGTTCAGTACTTGCATATAATCGACCGTTTCTTCATCTGGAGTACTTTGTAAAGGCAGATTCTGTTAAGTTGCCCAAGATCCATCTCCTCTTCTTTCCTAATTAATTGTGCCTTGGTCTGCAAAAATAATGAACATTTGTCGCAAACTTATTATATTACACAGACTGTGAAAAATGTGTATATGACAAAATTCCAACTAGCACTTGGCTTGGCAGCAGGATCTAGAATATCATCAGCATGATCCCAGCCATGATCGTGGAGCACCAGCATCACTATGACGCCGACCGAGGGCCCAGCTCCGGCTCCGTTCACACGTTCCACACGACTGCCCACAGCCAAATTACAATAATAACTCAAAACGCATAGAAGATGCGAAGCTAAATGTTTTGCTCCAATCCTTTGCCAAAAACAACAAAACAACAACCAACAAAAAGGGCGGGAAGTAGCGTGTAGAATCAAGAATCGAAAAATGTGTTTCATTAAATGTTATTTATAGTCAGCAATTTTATGCATTTAAAGCGCGTCTATCAACGGCAACATCAGCATCAGCATCAGCATCAGCATCTGAGCATC